AGGAAGAAACCTCCAACAGAACCAGGCTCAGGACAAGCGGCCATCTGCTTCGATTGACTGGGCTTCAAGAGGACAGAAAGGAGAAACAAACAAACACAGAATGGCAGGTCCAGGTGGACTTTCTATTGGAAGAAAGGCAAAAAACACATGTATAGAAATAATTACAAATGTAAACAGGTAGAGTAAAGTAGAGTAAGTAAAGACAGCAGCAGAGTGAAGAAATGTGGTCAATTTGTCCTCCAGCAGTCTAAGCCTGTAGCAGCATAACTAAGGGCAGGAAACCCAAGTCGACCCCAACTATAGGATTTATCAAAAAGGAAAGAATTAAGCATGGTCTTAAAAAGAAACGGGTGTTCGCCTCACTGACAGGAACCTAGGGACTCTAGGAAACACAAGTAGACCTGCAGTGAGAGCAAAGTGCTCTGTTAGGAATCTATGGAACAATAAGATCTGTAATAAAAGATGGAGCTAGGTTGTTGAGAGCTTTGTAGGTTAGAAGTAAGATTTTCAGAGTCAGAGTTTCTTTATTGTCATTCACACCTCATGTGGTACATGTGGTGGAGCGAAATTATGTACACGGGGTCCCAGTTACATCCAACAATAAAATGTATAAGAAAAACAGTAATAACATCTAAGATATGAACTAAGAAAAACATCAACTAAATATACACTAAGCACTCATAACATAAAACATTGAACATCAGCACAAACATGAACATGAGTCTGTGAGCAGATGTGCATGCATGAACACATCAACATTGAAACAGATCAGCAGCAACATGAAACAGATCAGCAGCAACATGACATGGTTTTTCACAGTGATTATCTAGTTAGAGATTCATGAGTCTAACAGCCTCAGGGTAGAAGCTGTTCCTCAGTCTAGTGGTTCTACACTTAATGCTCCCTAACCTCCTTCCTGAGGGGAGTGGGGCAAAAAGTGTGTGTGCTGGGTGAGTGGGGTCCTTCATGATGCAGGTGGCCCTCTTCCTGCATCTGGAGGTGTAGATGTCTGGGTGTAGATGTCTGTCTGTCTTTTGAATTCTAGCCTGAATTTGACAGGGAACCAATGGAGAGAAGCTAAAACTGGAGAGATATGATCTCTCCTACTAACTAATTAAAACTGGCAGCAGCATTTTCGATCAACTGAATACTTTTTTACGATTTTTTGGACATCCAGGTAATAAACAATTGCAATAGTCCAGCCTCGATGTGATAAATGCATGGAGCAGTTGTCTGCATCATTTTTGGGCAAGATGTTTCTAATTTTAGTGATATTACACAGGTAGAGGAAAGCGGTACTGGTAACTTTTTTAATGTGGGGGTTAAAAGACATATCCTGATCAAAAATAACAGCACTTTTTTTTAATATATATATTAGAACTGGAGGCCAAATTAATGCCATCCAGAATAAGTGAAATGCTGCAAAATTAATTCCTAAGATGTCCAGGTTCAAAAATGCACAACCTCTGTCTTGTCTGAGCTTAAAATCAGAAAATTAAAGATCTTCCAAGGTTTTTGGTCTTTAAGACATGCTTGTAATCAAAGTAACTGATAGGATTAATTGGGTTTCATGGACAAATATAACTGAGTATCATCCGCATAAAAATTAAAATTTATCCCATGCTGTTTTAAACCATTTTAGAGCCGTTCCTGTAATCCCAGGATCATATTAAAGTCTCTGTAGTTGAATATTATGATCCACGGTATCAAATGCAGCACTGAGGTCTAACAGGACCAGCGTAGACACAAGTCCATTGTCTAAGGCCATAAGAATATCATAAGTAACTTCACCAGTGCTGTTTATGTGCTATGATGAGCTCTAAACCCTGATTGAAACTCCTCAGATTATTTATGTTCAAATGTTTGCACAATGGATTTGCGGCTATTTTCGCACAAATATTTTAAATGAATGTTAAATTAGATATAGGTCTATAATTGGCCAGAATTCCTGAATCAACATCAGGTTTCTAATGGAAAGGTTTAATTACAGCAATCTTAAAGCTATGTGGTACATAACCATTCATTAAAGACAAATTATGCAGATCCAAAATGTGGATATTAGGTGAAATAACTCTTTGAACGGTCTGGTTGGGATGGGATCTAGCAGACATGTTGATGGTTTTTATTAAGCTATTATTTTTGATAATTCAGAGAGCTCAACATGACAAACAGTCCAAACATAAATCAGGTTCTGCTGACATTTCTAAAGCTGCCTCATTTGACAGGGAATCAGAGAACACAGTAGGAAGGATGGTGTGTATTTTCTCCTAATTTAAATAATTTTATTTATAAAGAATCTCAAAGTCATCACTGCTTATAACTGTAGGGATACATCTCAACAGACATAGGACTTTTCATTAGTCTAGCTAGCTATAGTACTGAACCTCGGGTTATTTTTATTCTCATCTATTAAAGATTAATAATATAGAGTTCTAGCTTTACGGAGGGCTGTCCTATAGGTTAACAGGCTATCTCTCCCAAGTAAAAAAACAATCATGTTTGTGGAGTTCCAGTTTCTTTTCAGCTTCCTTGATGCCTGCTTTAAGCAGTCTGGTAAAAAATCTTGGCATGGTTTTAGACTCTGACTTCAAGTTTGACAAACCAACTCTGTTCTGCATAAAAGCTTCTTCCAACTAAGACAGGTAGCAAAGCTCAAGCCAGTATTGTCCAGACCCGACCTTGAGAAACTAGTCCACGCCTTTGTCACAACCTGTTTGGACTATTGCAATGCACTCTATGCTGGGATCAGCCAGACCTCCATCTCACGTTTTCAGCTCGTCCAGAATGCTGCTGCTCGGCTTTTAACCGGAACTCGTAAGTCTGAATGTATTACACCAGTTCTGTCCTCCCTTCACTGGCTCCCTGTTTGTACGAGGATAGTCTTTAAAATTCTTCTGTTGACCTTCAAATGCTTAAATGGCCTCGCACCCCTTTACCTCTCTGAGCTACTGGAATCATACGTTCCCTCTCGGGCCCTGAGATCATCCGATCAGCTGCTTTTGGCTGTTCCAAAAACGAGACTGAAGCTCAGAGGAGATCGGGCTTTTTCAGTCATGGACCCCAAACTCTGGAACAACCTGCCCTCCAACATCAGGCAGGCCACCTCCCTTCCTCACTTCAAATCTCTGCTAAAAACACATCTGTTCTTGCAGACATTTCACACAGTGTAAATTGATTTAGTGTTTTTTGTTCTGTGATCCTATGTTTTAAATGCTTTTTATTAATTCTTCAGTTATTATTATTAGTGTATTGTATTTTTTTGTTTCTCTTAATTTTACTCCCATTGATTGTTGTTGTTAAGCACTTCGATAACAGGTTCTGTTTTAAATGTGCTCTATAAATAAAGTTGACTTAACTGACTTTAAAGTACATAACTCAGAATTGAACCAAGGAGCCAATTTCCTCTAATTGATCACTTTCTTTTTCAGCTGAGCAGTTTTATCAAGTGAAGTTTGCATTGAAGTTATAAAATTATCAACCAGATCATTTAAGTCACTGCTCTCTGATGTATTGCTCCGCAAGACAGAGGAAAACATTGTAAGAGAGTCTTTAAATTTGGTTACAGAGTTCTCTGATAAACACCTATTTTATTGAAATTTACTCTGTGGCTGTGTAGTCAGTTAATGTAAACTCAAAGGTTATTAAAAACGGTCAGACAGGACAGGATTTGATGATCTATTACTAAGTCCTTAATATCTGTCATAAGTCAAAACCAGATCAAGAGTGTGATGATAAGAATGAGTAGATATGTGGACGTTTTGGGTAAAACCAATAGACTCCAGTGTTTCTCCTACCATTATACAAGCAGGGCGCCCCACCCTGTCAACAGAACCAAACGACCCCCCTCCTCCCCACATCGACAACAGCCGGCACTGACATAGCGCTAAGCTAGTGGCGCACAATACAGGTGCACTAGCTAAAAAGCTAGAGGTAACGCTCCAATTCCCTCACGCTGAGCAGTCTCTCAACACCCCCTCTCCCCCTCCCCACAGCCCAAAAACTTTCTGTACAAATAGCACACAACACAGAAATGTTTCAGTCTCCTCCGTCTCCCTCCTACACCCCCGACAAAACTCAGAAGATGAGCGCCCTGCCATTAAATTATTAAAGGCTATGCTTAAGCTATCACTTTCAACATCTACATGACTTTTCAGGTCTCTTGTAAATGAGTCCCCGTGGCTCAGTGGGATTAACCTGTATAAATAAAGGTTGAATGAATTTTGAAATCCCCCATTATTATGATTTTATTAGTATTAAATTAATCAAACAAAAAAAAAAATCTGAGAATTCAGACAAAAACTGAGAGTAAGGCCCTGGTGGACGATATATAACAAGTAAAAGTGGCTTTTCTGATTTCCATTTTGGATGAGAAAAATGGAGGGACAACGACTCAAAATAATTTTAATAACTAATAATTGGTTTTGCATTAATTAATAATCCTGACTGAAAGGTAGCAGCTACTCTTCCACCTGGACCTGTTGTTCTAGGAACATGACAATTTAAATAATTAGCAGGAGTGGATTCATTTATACTATTGTAGATTTCAATGAAAGTTTCGGTAAGAAATTGTTGGCAGCCACAGCCAGTGGATCTTAGGAAACACCGTAATAGCTTTAACTCGATCAATTTTACAGTTATTGAGTGATAATTTAGTGTGGTAGTTGCAAAGAGTTCATCCCAACACATGCTTTGGGCACTAATGCCAAATGTTTTAGCTTTAAACGATGATATTAACTGCAAGCGATGGTTAAACTGTGGTTATATTGGACAAGTTTATTTAAAAAAATAGCAATCTACTTTCTCTTGGTGTAAATTTAAAAAATGCAGTGTTAGGTTTCTGCAGTGTTTTTCCAGTGAGTTCTGATATGTTCAGTAAAGGCACAAAATAACTGCTTGAGGTGGAAAAACATTGATAATTAAAGCTTAAAAAAAAGTGTCATGTGGAAAGAATGGCATTCACTGTTTCTTTTTTAATTTTATTTTTTTATCTTGTCTCTCAGGTTGTGCATTCTTGTTCAGGACAGCTGTGGGATCTTCAGCGTGGTCCAGCTCCAGCCCCTGATCTGCAGGGACAAGCTCCACTGGTTCTGCCAGATGTGGCAGGGGAGGACCTGTGTGTTGAAAGGCATTAAAGTGGTGCAGCGGGTCACTCGAGAAAGGTGATACTCACATTCTCTCTTTTACCCATCCCTCTTTGTCAGGATTGCCTTTTTTTTTGTTTAAATTTAAGTTCACTAAGTCCAGCCTGTCAGCAGCAACAATGCGCAGCCTGGTTTTCTGTTAAACGTAAGGTTAGCTCTCACTCATTAGCCATCTGAGATAACAGCTCTGGGTAAATATCTTTGACAGATAGGTGATGAAAAGTGTTGTGAAGTAGCCCCGAATTCGCATCCTAAACCTTTAGACGTTCATATCTGCTCGGTGCTTTGTGTTTTAGGATTTCTCTAAAGCACTAATCATTAGTTTCCCTTTTTTTTACATAAATAACCTAATTTACAACACAATTACAACACAATTAATGTTTGTTGCTCTCATAAACCTAATTATGTGGTCCTGCCAGCAGTGTGACTGTGTTTACATGTAAAGTGATACCGAGGTGCATGCTCTGTGTTCCCTGTGAGTTTCCATAGTCAAGATCCAGGATTAGCTGCAGTTAGTAGAACTGACATGGGATCATCGAGAAGCTGGCTGGAGTATGTTTACATCCCTCGTATCTTCAATGCCACTGCTGTCTATGATTTTTTTCTGGAAGTTATCTGTGGTTGGCGTGTGATGGATGGGCTATCTTCAGTTCTTTCAAATGGTCCAGCTTAGTAGCTAAAAAAAAAAAAAACACACACAGACACAAGGTTGTTTGAGTTCAAACAAACATAACTGAATTTCTAGAAGAAGAATTTTACTGGACCTCTTTCCTAGAAATCCACACTATGAAGAGAAAGTTTGCCTTGTCACATTGTTGAGAGTTAATTAAGAAGATTAACACTCTTTGGTATCTGTCTGATAAATATGAAGCAGCAAACAGCAGCTGTTTATCTTTTGACGCAAAGATAAACAGCTAGTGTGGTTCTGTGAAAAGTTGGGAACAAAAACCACTCCGAAACGCCTCCAGGACCTGGTCCGGTTTATAGTCCGTCAAAATTAGACATCTAAATTTGAATATGTGTGTAGACATTATGTCCTTCCACACGACATAAAGTAAAGGTGTGTCTGTGGGAAGGTGATGCTTTTGGAAACCAACCACACATTTAACATAAAGCACACATAGCTCTTATAGCCATCTTAAAGCCCCCTCATACATGCTGCTTTCACTTATTCTCACAGAAAATTAACGTGTTTGTTTCACATGTGAATTATCCAATATGGATAATTCACATGTGATGGATTTTGGACCAGGTCGAACCCTTGAGCACGCTTTAGTTTCTACACAACAGAAGTATGAACTGTTGTAATCACTTTCCTGGACTCGTGCAGCTGCTGTAGGTTCGTTTACCTTTGGATAAGATGTTTAAAAGAACCAGATTGTATTAAATTATAATGTTTATACTCCAGTCCAAACATAGCTTTCCCACTGATTTACTGAATAAGCATCTTAACCAAATAATTTTTGACCACTGCAGTGAGGCAAAGATGGAGCGTTTTTGCCCGTGTGCGTTTGTGTGTGTCTGTTACCAAAATATCTCATGAACCACTAGATAAAACTTGAATGATCTCTGGATATACAGCTACAATTTAACTTTTGGATTCAATCTGATTCAAGATGGCTGCTACAGCCATCTGACTTTAAAACACATGAAAAATGGCTGTAACTCAGTCACTTGTACAGATACTGACCTAAAAGTTCATACGGTCGTAAATGAGACTTGATCACCAACACATATTGTAAGGAATAAAAGATCTTTGTTTAAAACTTTGCTATTAATTTTTAGGAGTCATCTTTGATTCTCTGTTAGCCAAATATTTTATGAACCACTGTGTGGCTTTTAATGAAATAATGAGGAAATTATGGGTGCACCGATTGCAGTTTTCTGTCCAATCAACGATTTCTAAAAAGTCTGACCTGCCGATTCTGATTTTGGCCAATACCGATTTTGTTTTATGAACGCCACTGTCAGGTGTTATAAGGCCACAATGCACCTTCAATTTTCCAATATTATTTTGTTGAAAAACATACACCTGAACAATATCCTAGAAACAATACACACTTGTTTTAACTGGCCCTGAGGTAGTGCTCTGAAATATAAATGAAATTCGGATAATTGTTAAAACAAAAAAAATCTGTAAAATCGGCTTCTCATGCAAGCATTGTCCGATTTCCCAAAATTAAGGAAATCGTTGCACCCTTAGAAGAAATAATTATTGCATGTACATCTACAATGGATTAACCTTTGGAGAAAAAAACAGTTCAAGATGGCCACCACATCTCATCAACACAGCCAACACAGAAATGGCTAAAACTCAGTCAACTTTAGAGACACTGAGGTAAAATTTGATGTTAGTACCTGAGAGTAATTCACAGCACATACAAGTATGACACCTGGTGATGTCTATCACATGAGATTTGGCAGAGTGTTGTTCCTGTGGTTTGACCAAATTAACCACAGCTCCGTCATTTCTCAACAAGATCGTAGTTTAAAACTCTGGGATGAAAGGCAGCGGGCGATGTGCATTCATTAAAGAAGTCTGGACCTTTAAGTATTTTGTGTGTTTGAATTAAATGAATGATTGAAAACTTGATTTAAAAGTTCTGATATGCAGCACATTTACTCAAGTATAACACTGTAAAAGTTTAAACATGTATAAAATGGTTGTTTAAATATGTCCATATATACCGTACTACTGCTGTTTTAAAGAACGACTGCCCTTTTGATAAGCATTTAACTTTTTGTTCATGTAATGTGTTTTATAATATGTTTTACCCTTCTATTGTAATCTCTCATCTTCATAGTAAATGTTATAGGTGCCTTGTAGTTATATGAACCCTGTGTAAAACTGCACACTTACTGTAATTCAGTTGTTTTTATTTTTTTTGTTTTTAGAATTACTCAAAAAATATTACCATCATCCTAATTAGTCTGTTCAAAAGCTGTTTTTAATCTCCAGAAAGAGCCCAGCTAATATTTCTACTTTTTTTTTTTTTTTTTAGCAAAAGTGCAGCATATATATATTTAGCAGTTATGGGAGCAGTTACAGTTTTCATGTCCATAACGCTCAAGGCAAAACTGAATGAAAGCGTGTGATAAAAATAAATATTACTTAATGAAAATAATCTGATTTTGATATCCTGATGCATGCTTAATAATCTAGGTAGAAAAATCTAAAAAAAAGTTAAATCTGGTCCTCTGGACATCCAAAAAACAAAACAAAGCAAAACGACAACAAAAATGTAGAAACGTTTCATCTTTCATCCGAAAGACTTCCTCAGTCTGAGGTGCTGTATTCAGTTCAGTCTCTTAAATAGCACCTTCTCAGAGTGGATCAACCAGTTTTGCTGCTGACAACCAAAACCAGCTGCTCACATGGTCAAGAAGGACCATCAGCCTAACAATGGATCATTAGCACACTGATGGCTGTTTACTATTCACAGGGGGCTGAGTGATACTAGCAATCACAGCATTGTAAGAGGGGGACAGTTGAACATGGAGGCCTCCACCCCTGTTTAATGATGGACAGTTTCTTTTCACAAAGATGGCCTCCTTTACTCCTCTCTCAAACCATCGTTCCTCTCTGTCCAGGATGTGCACATCTTCATCCCTGAACGAGTGGCCGCTGGCCTGGAGATGAGTGTAGACCACAGACTTACAATGCTGTTATTGCTAGTATCACTCAGCCCCCTGTGAATAGTAAACAGCCATCAGTGTGCTAATGATCCATCGTTAGGCCGATGGTCCTTCTTGAGCATGTGAGCAGCTGGTTTTGGTTGTCGGCAGCAAACTGGTTGATCCACTCTGAGAATGTGCTATTTATAAGACTGAGCTGAATACAGCACCTCAGACTGAGGAAGTCTTTCGGATGAAAGATGAAACGTCTCTACTGTTTTTTTTGTTTGTTTGTTTGTTTTGCTTTGTTTTGTTTTTTTGAATGTCCAGAGGACCAGATTTAACTTTTTTTAGAATCTGATTTTGAGCAGTGCGAGCTTTTAAAATGATCACACTGACACTTACAGTATATGTGAAAATTGTTCTGTGGTTGGTACAGGAAGTATTTGTTACTACTAATTACTGGCATTATGCCAAATAAACAAATTCAGATACTGTACAGTTGAAGAATTATTTAATTTCAAATGAAATCGGATATATAAAATCTGCTGGCTGGGAATCACAGCCGCGCCTTTCTCGCTGCTAAGACAAAAGTGCTTAAAACACAAAGTCTACCGAGCGAGGATTAAAATAACAAATGACTCTGTTAGCTCGTCTTTACTCATACATGAGTTGCCCTCACTGGACTTGACTGGGCTGCAGAACCAGTTCCACACAAAGAAACACTGTGATTAGAGGCTGACTAACAGGTTGTTAACCACCGAGTGACCTAAAAGCACCCCTATGAATGAAAAGGCAGCAATGCCTTAAAGTCAACGTGCACTTCTCCGAAGACTTCTTAGCGTATGAATCAGTACTGAGTTGCCACTTTGTGTTTTTCCCCTTTTGCATTTTTAAACACTCATCTCTTAAATCCGTCTGACGTCAATGCAACAAGAAAAAAGTCTCATCAAGCATCGGTGTGTTTTACCTGGGATTAGGGTTGTACTGACATATGTCACTAATTACTAATAAAGGTATCTAAAACACACTTAATCCACTTTTTAAACCTTGTTAGTTTTGCACCGCATAAGAATCATAATTTACATTGGGTATGAACTCTTCAGCCTCTCAAGACCTGCTGATTTCTGTCGTCGTGCTCTGCCAGCCCCAGCATGCTCTCTGTTGATTGCATGTGACGCAAAACAAGTTGTGCCTTTACAAATTCACGTTTCAGTGGAAGTGAAACCGGCTGTGAAAGCTCTTATTCCTCTCACTAAAGTTGCTTTTTTAATTCAGTTTCCCTCTCTGTCCCCCTCTTTGGTGTCCCTCCTCACTCTCCCTTTTTCTTTTTTCTTTTTTTTTTTTGTCTTTCACTTGCAGACACTCCAGGCTTTTCAGCTTGATAGACAGCCTCTGGCCCCCAGCACTGCCTCCAAAAGATCATGGAAATTCACTCAGTATCCCTAAAGTAAGTTCCCTTTACAGTGAAAACAGCCACTGAGCTCATAGGTGCTAACTTGGGACGGATCGGAAATATCTTGTTTTTAAGCATTTGATTTGTTATATACTTGATGGAGTCATCAAATAAAATGGTTTGAAAGAAAATAATTTAAGATTTTACTTCAAATAGGTGGTCATTGATGGAGTTTTTTAATAAGTGATGGAATGGAAATATGGGTTATCAGGCATAAATGTAAGCTTTTGTGTTTTAAATGAGTTTAAACTATTTTTTTATACACCCATTGAAAGGTGGAAGTATTATATGGTATAGTCTCTGCCATACATCTATAAACTTTCTCTTGTGCCACCCATAACTACTGATCCGTTCAAGATAATTTAACTAAACTTGATATGGATTTGTTCCACTGCTGCAAATGTTACATAATTATCACATCATGCCAGCTTTAAGGTCAAGATCACAAATCAAGGTCAAAGTTTACACAGGGTCTTTGCTTGTTCGGGCTATTTCTGTATTGTGTAATAGTTTGTCGTCAAGTGTATAATGTGCCATATCCGGTATTCTTGTTTAAGTTTAGGGCAGCTTGACACACAAGAAAATGTCCCTTTTCCATTTTATTTTATTTATTTATTTTTTCTTACAGTTTTTCAACAATCAAATACAACTGCTAATGAAAATCTGTTGCTGGCACACTCTGTCCAAAAGTTGCAACCAAGAAACAACCTGCACAAATAAAACGATAAATAATAAAGGAAATAAAGAGTATTCCCAGTGGATGATTGTGTTTCTGTAGCACAATTACTTTCAACGACTTCTGTGGATTGAATTACAAATCTACAATGAACTAATATTTCCTATATTAACCTCATAATGAAACTAAACATGGCAGATTGTTTTACTTTGCTCATGCAGCTTTGCCCTCATGCGACCTGATTCCAACATGAGGAGGAGTTAGTTGAGGTGATCAGCTGATGTAGTCGTCCTACCGCTGTGTTGTGCAAAATCAAGATAATTTCGGACATTTAATTTGTTTATTTAAAGCAGTAACATGTCTTAATGTATTTGGTTTTTTTTTTATCTTTATCATTATCAGCTTGTTTAAATGCACTTTATTTACTGGAAATGTTGAAAAGATGTTTACCAATGATTCTCTGTGCATCGGGGAACACAAAACCAGACATTTTATATCCCTAATTCCTCTGGAGATTAAAGCAGCAAGTTAGAAGTTTGAATTGAGGCTAATATGAGTTACATTTACATGGAAAGCATTATTTTTAAATAACTTTGTTAAGGTTTTACTTTAATTCAAATAAATATGCAACATTTTCTTTTTACCATATCCCCAAAATGTCACATTCAAAATAATCTACATAAAGTATTCTGGTTTTTGTTGTATTATACAGTTACTTGTACACCTCAATTGTATTTTTATAGCCTACAGGAGATATTGCAGCATTTAGCAACACTCTGCTTCTTTGTATTACATATTTCTGCGTCTTTGGCAAGAAGAGCAGGATGGGTGGAGAACAAACAAAAAACATGTTTCAAGGGAAAGAAACTCCAGTAATGCCTCATATTCTCAGGGGTTTATAATAAAGGCTTTGAGAGGGTGAGTATGTTCTATTAAACAGAGGTGCTGTGATTGCATCACACTTAAGCCCTATTCGCACGGGATTAGTTTTACCTAGGGACCACATGTAATAAATAAATTACTCCCCAACGTCTGCTTTTTATGTGGCGCATTCGCACGGGATAACTAAAATCTGAGATTTAGCGGAAATTTAGGGACGTCTTCCAGATATGATGTTAATGCGCTGTTTTGTCACAACCGGGGCGGTCCATAATAATGTGCTTAATGTGCAGGCCGGGCCGGTCTCAGGCTTTGATGCGGTTTTACGAATCAGCACAAAGAAAGCTAAAGAATACACAATATAAAATTGTTTTAATCTACTTGTTGAGGAGGAGACGGTCCGACCGGCCGGTTTAAGTGGTAAAAAATAGCCAGTTAAGCTCAGATGGACAGCTGTCACCGGCCGTGCATGTGAGCATCCACGCGTCCGCTGACTCGCTGGTTGAAATGGACTTGTGACCTGTCTAGGGTGTCCCCCGCCTCTTGTACAGTGATGGCTGGACATGGGCACCAGTGACTCCCGCTACCCGAAATGGAAGAAGCGGGTAAATATAATGGATGGATGGATGGATGGATGGATGGGTCAGCTGATCATGTGCACGTCTCCGCACCTGCTGTCATCTGCGGTGATGGCAGCAGCAGTATCTACAAAAGCCAAAGCGAGCAGCGCGTTCATTTAAAATAGCCTTGTTCTTTATTTTTCCAATGATTTTGCTTAAACAAAAACCAAAACCGCCTCATTACGTATCGGATCCTGCCCGTTTCTGTCCAAATCACACAGATGCCTATTCACATTGGATTAGTATTATCACTGGACCTTCGCGTTCAGCAAAATATAGTAGGTAATTTGCGGGGGAATTTTTACTTTACAAATTACTGACATGGCCGATTCGCACGGGGTTAACAACACAGACAATCTCCATAATTATTACAAATAGCATGTGGTCCCTAGGTAAAACTAATCCTGTGGCAAATATGGCTTTAGAAGGAAATTAGAAAAATATTGAAATACCGCTGTGCACATAAACATCAATAAAGTTTCAAGCTGCATGATTTTGTCCAGTAAAACTATTGATCAACATGTGCAAATACCCCAAACAAAAGTAAATGTGTAATAACACAAACTATAAATGCATTTCCAGCAGTTAAAGTGCAGCAAACAACTTTCAAACAATTATACAATATTACTTAAAAGAGTTGTTGGTATTTATTTTTTCTAGTTGTCACATGTAAAATTTTAATTTGAACACGATTGCATTTTTTAAATCTGGATATTCTCTTTATTATGCAGAACTCAGAAGTGTTTGATTTTCGCAGGAAAGCAGATCTCCTGCTCAGGCTCCAAGTTTCTGCTACCTGCTGTCGGGTCAGCAGAGTTCAGTTGAACCCACCGAGGGGCAGATTACGTCCCCGCTCTACCTTCCCCCCACAAACCAAAGCCTACGAGACGTACTGCAGGTGAGCGGTTTGTCACTACAAACACACACAGGTTCAGGTTTATCCTCAGCGACTTCATTTAAAATGTTAATTTTCTCTTTCAGAGCGAGGAGAAAACCTGCCGCATCAGTTTTGTAGCCACGGTTTTATACAAGAGAATGCAGGTATTTCTGTCTTCAGAAAAGCACTGATTTAATCTGTCTTCAGTGATAGAAGAGAGTAAATATTAGGCCTCTTGAGTTCCTCATTCATCTTGTTTAGTTTATTTGAACTAAGAAACAGATCAGCTCGAACTCTGGCGAAGAGAGCAGCGTTCCTATCGCTCAGTTTAACCACCTGTATAAAGCTCCGCCGCTCCTCATCATTGATCGGCGAGAACTTTAAACTTTGACCAGATGAGATAGCTGCTCAGATTAGTGACGGACTTTGCCTCAAACTCGCACCACCTTTCTATATTATTGCACTAGTAAAACCGAATTGTGTGGAGCCACTTGAATGAATAATCTTGTTAAAGCAGTTGATTTTTAGACAAAAGTTACGATTTTCCTGTAATTTCTGCTTTGTAAGCTTTCCTTTAAACTCTCTTTGTAGGTCACTTTGTTTTCTACGTTAGTCTGACTTTTCTCTTTTTTCTCTGCTGCTCTATTTCAGCTTCAGAGTCCTGATGTAGGCCAGGGGGAGGTGTGGTTGGTGCTCACAGACCCCAGTCTTCAGGAGGAGCGGCCCGAGAGGCCGCGCGGGCAAACAGTGGCTCTGTGTGTGAACACTTCCTGTGTGCTCACTTCCTCCGTCCTCAAAGCACTGAATTCACCTGCTGCCTGTCAGCTCTCGTTCAGAGACGCCATCAGAGAAAATGGTGTGTTGCTGCAAACACTCAGGGTTTCTGTTTGGCCTCTTAGAATTGCAGGCTTCAGCCGTCCTCACTGAGAATATTTGTCATTTTTAGATGTAAAATTGTGATTTTAATGCTTTTTTTTGTGGCGAATGTTTAACTACACTGAATTACTACTTGATTATGTTTGAACATTTCGCCACTGTAGCTGGTGAAGTTTGTTCTTTACGTCAGGTAAGGTACTTAGAAGATTGAGCCCCGAAAAGGTCACAGGATAAATCTAAATACTTGTAACGACATAATAAAGTAGAATTCTTATATAGAGTAATTTTTCTTTACATTTTTTACCGTTATATTTAAAGGTAAAAAAAAAAAAGAAGTAAAGAATCAATTCAGTGGTGCTTGAAAGTTTGTGAAGTCTTAATAATTTTCTATATTTCTGCAGAAATATGACATAAAACATTATCAGATTTTCACACAAGTCCTAAAAGTAGATCAAGAGAACCCAGTTAAACAAATGAGACAAAAATACTTATTTATTTATTGAGGAAAACGATACAGTATTACATATTGCATATAAAAAATAAAATAAAAAAAAATTGTGAGAGGCAAAAGTATGTGAACCTTTGCTTTCAGTATCTGGTGTGATCCCCATGTGCAGCAATTATGTTTCCAGTAACTGCTGATCAGTCCTGCTCACCGGCTTGGAGGAATTTTAGCCCATTCCTCCGTACAGAACCGCTTCAACTCTGGGATGTTGGTGGTTTCCTCACATTAACTGCTCGCTTCACGTCCTTTCACAACAATTTGACTGGATTAAGGAGGTCAGGACTTTGACTTGTCCATTCCAAAACATGAACTTTATTCTTCTTGAACCATTCTTTGGTAGAATGACTTGTGTGCTGAGGGTCATTGTGTCGCTGCATGACCCACCTTTTCTTGATTCAGTTCATGGACAGATGTTCTGACATTTTCCTCTACAATTCTCTGATATAATTCAGAATTCATTGTTCCATCAATGATGGCAAGCTGCCCTGGTTCAGATGCAACAAAACTGGTCCATACCATGATACTACCACCGCCATGTTTCACAGATGGGATATGGTTCTTATGCAGGAATGCAGAGTTTTCCTTTCTCCAAACAGAACACTTTAAACCAAAAAAAGTTTTATTTTGATCTCGTCTGTCCACAAAACATTATTCCACCAGTCTTCTGGCTTGTCCACATGATCTTTAACAAACTGCAGACGAGCAGCAATGTTCTTTTTGGAGAACGGTGTCTTTCTCCTTCAACCTGCCATGAACCATTGTTGTTCAGTGTTCTTCTCATGGTGGACTCATGAACATTAACATTAATGTGAGAGAGACCTTCAGTTGTTAGAAGTTACCCTGGCATCTTTTGTGACCTCTCTGACTATTCCACACCTTGTTCTTGGAGTGATCTTTGTTGGTCGACCACTCCTGGGGAGGGTAACAGTGGTCTTGAATTTCCTCCATTTGTACACAATCTGTCTGACTGTGGATTGGTGGAGTCCAAACTCTTTACAGATGGTTTTGTAACATTTTCCAGCTTGATGAGCATCAACAACTCTTTTTCTGAGCTCCTCAGAAATCTCCTTTGTTCCTGCCATGATCCACTTCCACAAACATGTTGTGAAGATCAGACTTTGATCGATCCTGTTCTTTAAATCAAACAGGGTGTCCACTCACATCTGATCATCATCCCATTGACTGAAAACACCTGACTCTAATTTCACCTTCAAATTAACTGATAATCCTAGAGGTTCACATACTTTTACCACTCACAAATATGTAATATTGGATCATTTTCATTAATAAATAAATAAGTATAATATTTTTTGTCTCATTTGTTTAACTGGGTTCTCTTTATCTACTTTTAGGACTTGTGTGAAAATCTGATGATGTTTTGTGTCATATTTATGCAGAAATACAGAAAGTTCTAAAGGGTTCGCAAACTTTCAGGTGCCACTGTAAATGCAAAACAGATTGTTTAGAGGTTTTTAAGATCAAAACCTATTGAAAAGATTAAAACTCGCTTTAACATCACCAGCCATTATTTATCTTTTACAAGTTTCTCAATTGTATTTTTTATGCTAAATAGTTGATTTTACATTTTATAGTTCAATTAATCAAATAAAATATATTGAAAGAGAGCCATGTCAATATTTTAGAAGGAAAACTTTTTGTGGTATCTCTTAAGGTTTAAACTGCAGTTTTTTCTCCTGTCGTCAGCTGTTTTGATTTGAAGAAACAGGAACACGTAAACCCAGAGAACATCATGTACATCATCTCTGAAGCTTTCTACAGACTTTTCTGTTTTTGAGTCACTGTAGCAGCTTGCCAGCTGACCTTATCGCTGCCACGCCCATGCGAGCACCTGTATTAGGCTCTGCCCAGAAGCTCGAGAACTTCCTGTCGCTCCAGAGCAAACCCACGGTAATTGGAAAGGTAGCGTACACGCTGTACAGACTCTGGTGAATAAACAAACCCCAGAGCACGAATGAATTTGCCTTTTATGGAAACGGCTGGCAGCTTGTTTTCAAAATGCCTGTTCCAAGTCACCAATTTCCTCATTTACTTTTCATTACAGTCAGTAACAAACTTCAAAACTATGTGTTTTTCGTAAATATTTTTGAAAAGCTTTAGAGCTCTGGTGTTATCAAAACATTATACAGTGTCTTGTGTAATTCCTCATTTCCCCAAAATTTTGCATAAAAGGCAAAAATTTTAAGACCCATGAAGCCGCATTAACAGGAAATGCACTTGTGGAATTAACATGAAATACAATAATCAGATGTACTTAGTCAATGGTTGGAAAGTAATGAGTTATAAACAGACATCAGATGAGCAGAGGTGCTTGTGATTTTAAAGTTGTTTTAACTTTTAAACTCTTGAATGATGAAGAAAACCATGTGTTGCTCTGAAAGTGACTGTATAAAGCTGATAATGTATAATCTGTTAAGTAAAACGTCACTTTTGAACATTTTCCCATCCAGGCGTTCTCCTCTGTGTGGAGCAGTCTGTTATTGAGGTGTGCTCAGTCGAGAGCGGTATCGAGACCGCAACAGGGCGAAACTCGCTCTCTCAGTCTCTGCCTGAGCCCCAGGTGAAGACCCTGCCCCAGCCCTTGAGACTGGATTCTCTGAGTCTGGAGACCACGCCCAACTCCCTCTGCACTCTCACAGGTCTGTCTCTGCCTTTCACTCAGTCTAGTGCTTTTCCAGGCAGTCTCCCCAGATTCTTGCTGAACAGGCCAAACGTTTGTTTTCTTCGGTTTACAGCCCCACAAGAGACTTTGATGTTGCTTCCAGAGACTGCGGTTTAATGTTTGTTGTTTGTGCGCATCATCGTTTGGGACAATATAAAATACAAACACATGAAACATATCTGATTTATGTCTGTTCTACGTGTAATTTTGCAGTGCTCCTCTTGAGGCTTGGAACATCTGTTGAGGTTGGGTGTTACGGTTCAAGGGCACATTTTCACAAGTCTTAAAAAAATTTGGACACAAGCAGTAATTTATATATTTCATTTAAGGCTTTTTAAACATAATTTGCCAATACGCAACTGCTCCAAGATGACAAAAACTTGAGTTTCAAGTCTGAGTCAAAATCTAGACTGTGTTGCAGTTATCATTTGCTTCATTTTTTTTTTTTTTTCATTCAACCTTTATTTATACAGGTTCATCCCATTGAGCCTCGGGGACTCATTTACAAGAGAGACCTGATTTTAACAAAGAGTGATGACAACAGTGGACAATCATAAAAAAACACAAATTGAGAAGAACAAATGAAAGAAAATGGTATTAAAAGAAATGAAACAAAAACAGCTAGATTGTAAGGCGGTGTAGAAAACTAGTATCAGGAACATGTCTGCATTGGTTTTTCCCAGGAACTTAGCAAATGTTTGAAGCCACTTAGAGAGGTCAAGGTCGAGAGCTTCAGATCTTTTTGCAAGATATTTCAGGAAACGGGAGCGGGGTAGGAGAAGGCCCTTTTGCCTGGTTCAGTCTGCACTGAGGGAACACTGCATGTAATAATGTCCTGAGAGCGCACGCTGTAGCTGCACTCACGCAGAGACATGTAGGGGGAGATGTATGAAAGCAGCAGACCAAGATGAAAATGTACCAGTGAGAGTCTGTGTGAAGTTAATGATGACCAGTTAAGCACTAGGGTTTCTACGTGGAGCTTAAAAGAGAGATGTTAATCAACCATAATACCCAAATATTTGTAGGAATCAACAAACTCAATTGAAGCACCATTCGAGGATAAAATCTAAGGAAGAACTGCTGGGACCGACCTCCTGTTTAAAAATGACATCCCTTTGGCTTTGTCGGCATTTAGGACAAGTTTGAGATGCCAGAACAAATCTGACTGGATGATGTCAAAAGCAGATTGCAAAAGCTAGAAAATTTTAGCAACTGTTTTAGCTCGACAACAACTGTATCATCAGCATAGAAATGTAAGGATGTATCAGGGAGGGTCTGACCTACATTACCTATGTAGATTGTAAAGAGGGTGGGACCTAAGACTGAGTCTTGAGGTACACCATTGTTAACTGTTAAATAACTGGAAGCAGTACCACTATGTTGAACACATTGTCTCCGATCTGAAAGATAGTTACAGAACCAACCAACCAATGGTATGAATTGAGAAACCAATTTCTGAGAGCTTATGACATAAGATGTCATGGTCCACAGTGTCATAAGCTTTAGACGGGTCTAAGTAAAATGCAGCACAATAATCCTCATCATCTGTTAAAAAAAATTATATATATATATATATATATATATATATATATATATATATATATATGTACATATTCCCTATCAGAAGTCATTGTGAAGTCTTTACATTTGTCTAAATGTGGTTTAGAAGCCTGAAGAAGATTAAAAAAAAACTGCATCTGCTGCCTTCATGTCACATTTGAGAGCAAAGATCACACCGTGAACCCTGTCAGCTGTGGCCTCTCTGGCAGGACATGTTTAATCAGGTGGCTGAATGAAAAAAAAACTACAACAGGCTGCTTGCACTGGTGCACAAATCGTAACTTCTGAAAATCACCCATAGAAAAGAGCCAGCGCTCAAACTCTGTAGAAGTTATCAGCCTTGTATCCTGTTTAAGGTCCTACATTTGTGATTGTCACTGTGGTTATCGAGCAAGATGCTTTTTAGCTGGGGAGTGTGTCTCTGCTGCGTTTATCGTTATGATCTCTAGATGTGAAAGGGATGTGTGTATCTCTTACACCCTGTCACAAAAATACTTCAATGTGTAGATCACTTATCTTGTTTATCTGGTAAAAATAAGAAATTCAAATCACTTATTTTGTTTTGGAGTGTTTCATAGAACACTTTTATATTCCTGATTTGATTAATTTCACTTCTGCTCATCAGGTGTGATAGTTGGTGTGGATGAGAATACAGCGTACTCTTGGCCTGCCTGCAATCTCTGTGGAAGTGACAACTTGGGCTTGTCAGAAGAAAGACCGTAAGTTCTTGCTATTTGTCAATTTAGGAGTCAAGAGAGTCATATTGACAACTCAAAAAGGTCAATATTTCTTTCTTGTCTCTCCCCAGTCAGAAGTTCCACTGCGTTTCCTGTAAATCGGTGTTGGACAAACCAGACACAAAGGTTCAGCTGGAGGTGTTCCTGACCTCGTCCACATTGAACAACTGCACCTTGAAGGTTAAGGTGAGAACATTATGAGGTGCCGACATCAGAGTCTTTACAGGCTCCTCAGGTTTTACGCAGAGTTTACAGAGTAGTTAAATATTCTGATAAAAGTAGATGAGAAGATCAATACCAGTCATGTCTGCGCAGGAAAAATTAGGTCAGGAGCTCTATGCTTTACATAAAGTCAGGAAGCTGGACACTTTGTCCCAAGCAAAGCTGGACCAAGCATGATTTAACTCAATTTATGTTGTTTATGTATTCCATGCTAACCTGATTTGTGGAAAATTAAAAAAAAAATCTGTTTTACATGTTTTTCTGTGTGGGGGTTTAATCTCAAGCAGGAACAAGTGAGTGTTGCCTGTCGTGTAACTTCAATAAATACTGCTTTTAAACACATCTGACACAAATTTGTTGGTAAGACAGGTGTCATGATACACATCAGTTCAAGTCTTGCACCTTAATAGAACAAAACCTTCTCTAGTTTCATTTGTAACATCTGTGTTAGCCCACTGATGTGAAAATGGCTGCCGTGGCAAAAAGGTTTCTGCTATTTGACCACAATGAAGACCTGAGGTGTTTTTTTCTTTCTTGCCCGTTGTACAAAAGTAACTTTAGGTGCTTTTTGGTCAAATATTTTTTAAGTTTGATGTCACTAAACCAGTAAACCTTATGATACAAAAGTTACTTTCGTGGTTTTTTTACCTTTAATTTCCTAAACTCTTGTGAAAACCTGTTTTAGAAGAATTTTGTAGATGCATATATTAAATTAGTTTGCTACCTGTTCAACTAGGGGTGTAATATTACATCGATTTAAATCGATATATCAATTAAATGATTCAATTATATCGTGGCAAAACTAAAATATCGATTCATATCGTCATCTTTAAAATACGCTTTTGTTTTGAAATTCCCAAGGCACGTCTGTGTCACCATTTCCGCGCGCAGCTGCGCTCCGCGGCCGCCTCAGCAACATGGCAGAAAACACAGATAATGAAATTCACTCTCCTGCTGGATTTAAATCAACTCTAGAAATATTTTGGATTCCAACAGCCAAAACTCATGCCGTATGCAACAGGTGCCAGTGTGAGTTCAAATGCTCGGGGAAACAACAAATTTGGTCGTTCACCTGAAGAAGAAACACGGCATTGATGGCCATGTTATGTAAGCTCAATATATATTTTTGTTTCTGAGAAATGTGAGACTATACTGAACAGGTCATTTATTTTTTCATTAATTAAGAAAAACATTTTTTTTTTATTCCTGGTGCCTGTAATAACAGAAATAAAATGGTTAAATCATATTTGAGTTGTTTTTGTAAATGTACTTATATGTAAATGAGATGGGCATTTGATATCACAATATATCGATCGCAGACTTGTGAATCGAATGGAATCGAAATCGTATCGTGACAGACTTTATGATATCGGGAAAAATCGTATCGTCATAAAACAAATCAATATAACATCGTATCGTGGTAAAGCTGCTGATTTACACCCCTATGTTCACCATTTCCCGTTTATATGCTAAAAATCTGTAGGCTTGTTGTCAGATGGCTAAAACGTTGAACCCGTGGTTCAGAGTCTGTCTTATGAGTACCAGAAATACACAAAATAGATTTTGTGTGAACTGTTGGCAAGACAAAAACATTTTAATGGGTGAAGTTGCTGTAAGTAAAAGCAGGCATCAAACTTTCAGTAAAACAAGCGTCTGTCCTCTGGAGCGACCCACGAGTTTTACACTGACTCTTTTCATGCTCTCTGTGTACTTTACTATAAATGGGGCTCGTAAAGATAGATGCTCTGCTCTGTAAAAGCCTAAAAGTTTGATAAACGCTCCTCTACATGCAGGTCTTAAACAACAGAAACCCTTGCATGGCTGCAATCAGAAATCCAAGTGAGCCAAGCAGTTAAAGGTTATCAACGTCCTTATCGGCCAGCTGTAACTCGCCACAAAGCACAGACTGTTAGCGCAGCATTTGACTTTTTTTTATTTACAGCACAGAGGTGATAATTAAAAAGACATTACTTCCTTAAAGTATTTCATCTCTCCTGACAGCTTCAGCAAAAAACCATCTTGTCCCTGCTGAATGCCAGCGAGCTGGAAGTTGATGAGGTAGGTGTGCTTATCGAGCCCTTACATAAGTCTGAGCTCAGCTGTAAGGTGCAGCGTTTTTATGTAAATATGTCCTGAATGTACAGTCATCTGGTTTATGTCTCTGGGATAAAGTCTAAAACAACCATTGATACTGTTAGCTGACAGATTTGTCACATAATCCCCCACCTTTTATTGTGCTGATTGGGTTTGCTCACATTTTAGCTGGAGTGTTAATTTCTTACATAAACTGACGTTAATGGAGCTTTTCTTAATCAGACAGGTGTGTTGTAGCTGTCCTGTATGTATTAGATCGTTGATTCTTCCTATAATAACTGTTGATGGGTGTAGAGAGCACAGTTCTGATCGAACCTAGGTGAAATTGTACTTTTTGTCAAACTTTCGTTTTTAGCTCCAAGGTTATGATGTGGAGAGCGTCCTGGGAAAAGAGGTTGGTCCCATCATAGTGTACGTCCGGGTCGTCACCAGGAAGCCTGCCTTCTGGATGGGCCTGGAAGAAATCTGCCTCCAAGGCTATGCTGATAGCAATCCTCAGACTTTGGCTGGCTCCAGAGCTCTGCACGCTGGGCCTTGATCTGCTCCAGTCTATCCTCCACTCCCCCCACCACCACCCTCCGAAGGCCTCCCTGACAGCTTGAGGCTGTGCTGCACAGAGCGGGGCTACAAGAAGACAAGGTTTGTTTGTGTTGAATGATATGTGATCCTGAGCACCAGGAGTTGACAGCCCGAGGGTAGTCTGGTGATTCTGTCAAGTCAATCCACGTGCACCATCACTGGACTCAGCACAACTTTAGATGTAAAACTTTTCATCGTTTCTGTTTTTGTATTCAAGATTACTGACTCTTGTCAATAAAGGATTATTTTTTGCTGACTAGGCTGGCTGCTTCCTGTTGCACTTCTTGTGTGAGTAAGTTCCCCCTCATGCACTGCTCAACAGACCAGACCATTCTGCACTTTTCTCATCCACTTTATTATAGATTCATAACAAAAACGTTTTCAAGGTTTCATACAAACTATATAAAAGATCATGCTCTGGCTCTTATACAAAGTTTAGAATTATAAAACATGTACCATGTCAGGTAAAAATTTAAATGCAGTGGTAAAATAATTTAATACAGAAAATCCCACAAAAACATGGCAACAAAATACATATTTTCCAGTGCCATTATGGTAAGCTTAATACATCTGGTACAGATGGTAAAAAAAGTGTCTGTTGAGGTATGTCTTCTAGAAGTTCAGTTCATAGAAGAGTCACTGTGTCACCGGCTCTCGGTGCTGATGGAGACCGGGAAGGAGGAGTTGGGGACCTGCTTGAAGAAATCTCTGAGGCCGCTGAGCTCCCTGGTTAGCTGCTCGATGGTTTTGTGAAGCTTCTCGTTATCGACGCTCAGCTCGATCAGCTTCTGCTGCATATCCAAGTTGCGCCTCTTGGCTTTGTCCCTGCTTTTCCTCACGGCAATGTTATTCCTCTCGCGCCTCTGCCGGTAGTCCGCGCTGAAGCGGTCCACCGCCTTCTTGCCCTTCTCCCTGCCCTGCGCCTTCCGCGGGGAGGACTTGGCGGAGGAGACGGGCTCCGGTGTGGTCGGGGGAGTCGGCTGCCCCGTCGGCAGGCTGACGGAGGTCTGGGCGCAGGTCTCGATCTGGGAGGGCAGGGACGAAGACACGTCGCTGTCGCTCCAGTCCGACTCCTGCTTGATGGAGGCGCTCAGCGCGCCCTTCTCCAGCTTCCTCTCCGGCTGCTGCGCGGAGCTCTGCATGGCGTACAGCTCGCTCTTCTCCTGCTTCACCGTGTTGAACAGGTCGAGGAAGAGCTCGTCGTTGCACAGCTCCAGGTTTGGCACGGACGTCATGGACTCGATGTATTGGCTGAAGTCGATGGCGCTTTCGTCGTCGTACATGGCAGGGGTGTTGTTCAGCTCCACCATGGTGCCGTCCTCCGCCGGGCCCTCGACCCTGCTGCCCGGCTTGCAGAAGCCCTGCTGCGGGCAGCCCAGCTTGGTGCTCTCGTAGAAGTTAGCAGGCTCCATCGCCCAACTCATGTTGCATTGTGGAGACACGCAGTGTGAGTCCAGGCTGTATATGTCACACATGAACCCTGCTGTCTTGTCCACGTGGGTTGAGAAGAATAAAAACTTTTTAAAAACGCAAGCTTTTTGTCGTGTCAGTTCTGTCGCGCGCAGTTTCTCTCCGCGCAGGCGCCTTTCTTCTTTTTCTTTCCGCCTAAACTCGTTCAGGTTTGTAACTCCCTGGATTTTGTCTGTCAGGAGTCCGTCACTACCTGCTCTGAGACTTGACACTTCTCTGAAGGAACTGCGACTTTCGCGGAGTGCTTTGTATCGTTGCTCGGTGACGTCACACCTGCCGCCCTCTCACGAGCCAGTCAACTCTAAACAGAGGTCACGTGGTAGGAAGGCAAGGGGCGTATCCTCTTGCCACCCACTTTTTTTTTTTTTTTTTTTTTTTACTATGATTGTATGAATGGTTGAGAGTTGTTTACATACTGCATGATGTGTTCTGGTTTTTGGGAACAGGATTATTTAGTCACCAAGAACACAAGAACTTTACTCCAACATTGTCTGAGAACGCACTTAGATGATTTATAAATAACAATACTATTACACATCAAAATATGAATATTCAGTTTCACAAGTTAAACAAAATAAACAACTCATTAATGTTGAAATGTACCTGTAACCTGTTACTGGTTATTCTGTAAATTACAACTTTGCAGCTACTGATGAATATCAAGTTACTTTATTAAAATCTAAGTAATTATTTGCTCAATTTATTATATATCAGTTTACAACATATTCAAGTTTCTCAGCTCTGCTCATTATAAAGTAACTTTAACAACCAAGTTTAGTGGGGAATATTTGATATCAAGTAAAAACACTTGAAAAGGGATTAAATGCAGCAGTTGTGGAACAGAAAGTGTTTTACATAACTAATACACTTGATTTACAGTCTACTTAAAATGTGTTTTTATGTAGAGCATATTTACGGGCATTAATTAGTCACGTTTGAAACATTTAAAGTTGGCAAAAAGACGTGTTTTTGATTGTATCTTATTGGCTGTTGGGGTCCGAGAAGCTCTCTTAAATCACACAGGGACTGACACTTCTCGGAAATGTTTCTCATGTTTTCATCTTGAGAGGTTTTGCAGTACTTTTCCTCTCAAGTTCTCATCTGATAATGGAGGGAGCTCCCCCTGGTGGTCAAAAGTTTGTTCCTGCATTTAGTTTTTGCAGGGAAAGCACCAAGGTCAGTTATTTATACTGAAATTTTAAAATAGCAGATTTAGATACCGATTTGTGATACATATTTCTATTTAAAATGGACAAAGATATTTTTAGCTATCATAAGATGCATGTTTTGTTTTTATTTTCTTGCACTGACTATTGTAAAGAGAAAAGAGTTTACTGCTACAGGATTTTATTAACCTGAACTGTTTGCCAGATGGTAACAGTTCAAAAAGGGGGTAGCCAGTGTGTGTGGGATCAGTGTAAATGTTCATAGCTTTTTTTCTTCAATCTGGTGGTATATAGACTGTTCGACAGTGGGATGTCCAGATACACGAGAAGCTTGGCTGTTTTCACAATCCTGGATCCATTCTTCTGCTTAGTAGCTGTACAACTGGCATACACCATAGTTCAATAATAATAATATTGCTCTCAATTGTGGCCCTATAAAAAATGGAGCATCCATTTTTTGAGAGAACTGAGCCTCTTTTGGCTTTCTCAGGAAGAAGAGTCTGTGGGGTTTTGACCCAGGAAAGCAGTTTTTGATGTCCAGATCTGGTCATATGTTGAGATTATCCAATATCTCCACAAGGTCTGAATTGCTTTGGAGAGGAAAGTGATTTTTCCTTGGGGTTCCTTGAAATCAACGATTATTCTTTGTTGCTGAGGTTTAAAATTGGCTTCCCTATACCACTCAGTCAAGTGCTACATGTCAAGTCTGTAGGCCACTTTCTCGTTGTATCCTGATGCATGCTCAATAATCTTTCTCGTTGTCTTAATCCAGTCACACTACAGTGGTGTCATCAATGACTTTTTTTTTTTTTTTGTGGATGAGGGTGCAGTCATCTATGAAGTGTAAAGATTATGAGACTCAGCACACAGCCTTGCAGGGTTCCTATGTTCAGGAACATGGTGGAGGAAGTGTAGCTGCCAAGTTGCATGTCATTTAATCACATTTAATCCCTCAAAAAAATGTAAAGATGTAAAGCTTTCTCGTGTTAGTTTTAATCCATCCATTTATATTGGAATGGAGCTGCGTCATAAAATGTAGGTTTAAACGTTTGTCAATAAAATGACTTTGGGAAATCTTTAACTGGCAATTTTATTAAGCTTTAACATTTTGTTTTAAGTTCTTATGGTAAGAACGATTTCTTATTGAACTTGAATTTTATTCTACTTCCTACTCAAGAGTAAACATACTAAGAAAACAGTCATAAAATGTAGAGATACTGTGCATGAACATATTAATGTATTATGTGTTTAGCTTGGATAAACATTGTTTACAATAACTTCGTTATGTCACCGTTCTTTCCATCACAAGAGGGAAGCAGATAAGTAGAGGTTGGACCAAACCAAAGTAGTTCAAAGTATCGACGCACAAAATACTTTATGTTGGAGACGCAAAACTTGTATGAGTACACATATATATATATAAACGGTGTTTCTCAGAAATCCACTTGTTATTTTCAAAATTACAGCAGCTTTAGGTGTTTTAATACAAGTCGAGGGCGTATAAACTCCACAGGACTCCCCTCTGAAGTGAAGGAGTCGGCCGGAAGAAGAAGGCCAATCCTGGCTTCTCACTGGCTCAAACTTCCCCGCGAAAATAACGTCACCCGCAGTTTCGCGCCACAGCTGCATTTTTCGCTCAAACAGAGAAAGAGGTGAGGAAACGCATTTTTTGTTGAAGTTATTTCACGTTAAAGCTTTAGCTGTCGTTGTTTTGTCATCGTGCGGATCGTTAGAGGGGCTCATCTGAATACAGACGAAGGTATTTTGGTTCAAATAAAGTAACTTTTTACTGAAATCCAGTAAAATGCAACATACGGAATTGTCTCCTTGTAGCCACATGTCGAATGGTGGCAGAAGTAGGCTCAATAAGAGCAGCTATAGCAATGATCACATATTGTAAGTTCTTGTTAAACAGGGTGGAGTATTAATACGTTACTTTAGTAAATAACTGAGTTTAAACAAACATTTAAGGCTCCTATTTAGTTTCTTTGACGCTTGATTTATCTGTGGTGATAAGAAAGACCGCCCTCCTTTAATTATATTATGCATATTGTTGACAAATTAAAAAAAAAAACAGAGAAAAAACTCTAGGTTTTAAATTCGGCAAAACATAATGATTAGTTTAATAAAAGACATGTTTGTAGATGGAGCTCAGCGAAGGAAGTTGAAATAAAATTAAATGCACTTTACAAGTTGTACGTCCAGCTCTTTGTCTATAATACAAAAGCTCAAATAAACAAAGTGGTATAACTAACAAAATGTGAACCTGTAAATTAAGATTCAGAGTTGAGCTTAATGTTATTTAATCTCTTCTCCACACAGATATCCCACCAACAATGTCTTCACCTGCTTCAACTCCCGGAGGTCGAAAACGTGGAAGGAAGTCCAACCCATCCACACGTAGGTTCATCCTCATGAAAATGTCCTGTAATTTGTATGTTGCTGGTGTCTGGAGCACTATTTTTGGTTAGCTTCATGTCCTATGTGATCTCAGCCAGCAGTCAGGACCCCATCTCGCCCCCGTCTCAGCGGCGCAGAGGTCAGGACTCCTCCACCGGCGACCTGATGCCAATGCCCACCTCTCCGGTCACGGACATGCTCAGCCCTGCAGGCCCACAGGACACCTCTCTGTTCTCCAGCCCACGGCCATCAGGTACTTCAAGGCTTTTGTAGTCTTAAGAAAATCAACTCAGAATGCTAATCTTTTATTTTGACTGATACAGTTCTGCCAAATGAAGTGGACATGAGCTCCCCTCTGATGTACGGGACCCCCAGCTCCAGGGTTGAAGGGACCCCACGCAGTGGAGTTCGCGGCACACCGGCCAGACAGCGCCCCGATCTGGGATCAGCTCGGAAGGCTCCTCAAGTCGATCTTCATTCTGACGCAGTCAGTAGTGGAGTTAATACTTGTTTCTTGTGTTTGCATTAAAACCTAAAGGCGCTGAAGCCGATTTATTTATTTATTTTCCTTTCAGCCGAGCGCGGACGGTGCTGCCACCAGCGAGCCGACTGCAGCTCAGAGACTGGTGATCTGGGGGACTGACGTCAACGTGGGGACCTGTAAGGAGAAGTTCCAGGTATGACGGAGGAAAAAAATGTCAGCTCCGTTTTGATATTTATTTTCATTAAAACAACTTTAATGCTTTTGCTCTTGTGCTTCCAGAGGTTTCTGCAGAGGTTCATTGACTCGGCATCCACTGAGGATGAGAACGCTGGTTTGGACCTAAATGAGCCTTTATACATGCAAAAACTGGAAGAGGTAAAGTATCCATTGGTTGATTGTGATCAGAACCTCCCAGCAGGTTAACAAATTCTAAAATGTGTAGAGCTTTTTGAAAATGACTTTGTCTTGATCACTGTTAAACTGATTTGCAATTCTTAAATTTTCTCTCAGATCAGTGTTGTGGGCGATCCTGTTCTGAACGTGAACTGTCAACATGTGAAATCCTTTGATGCAGAACTGTACAGGCAGCTCATCTGCTACCCACAGGTAACTAAATAAAATCATCTTTCTACAGTAGATGGCGTGTATAATTTAGATTTTTGTCTTGGCAGCATGCATTTTTGACAATTATATGATTCTTATGTAAAAGTCAAACGATCTTTGCTTATATGGTACATTGTGACCTTGTTCTATATTTTTAGACCCAGGTTATACATTAACTCACACGTTGTATATAAATTATTTAATGCAAGACTTTCATCTATAATGACTTTTATTAAACACACTGAGGATACTTCAACACTGTAGAAAGACGGGGGTTGATCTGAGCATTTACAGCAACATAACTGCTAATTTCCAAGCATAGGCATTTGTTTCTGCCTGTCAAAAACCTTATACCTCTAAAAAATGTAACTTTTCAGGACATGAATAAAAAAAAGTGTTATTTTCAATTAAATAAACTGCTCAGTAACTAAATTGTGATACTTTTTCTTGATTACCCATTCATAAAACCACAAAATGTGAGCAATTGGTCAACTTAGGCTTTTTAACAACAAAGTCCATGCTCAATAATCCAGATATACAATCCAACATTTTTCAGTCAGGTCATTAGGCTTTTTAAGTTTTAGCCTAAAACTGACTTTAACATCTTAAGACATTATTTAATTGAAAAACATGCTGAACTTTACCGTCGAGTACGGACTGAAAGTAGCATTAGGTGCAATTAGTTCAACCTTAACTACCATATATATATATATATATATATATATATATATATATATATATATATATGTATATATCTGTGATCTATTGTCTGCCAGAAATTTATTTTATTGTCTTTTATTTCTGTAGTTTAAAAATCTATTGATACAAATTAAGTGTTTCTTTACTTTGCAGGAAGTTATCCCAACCTTTGACATGGCGGTCAATGAGCTTTTCTTCGAGCGCTTCCCTGACTCCGTGCTCGAGTACCAGATCCAAGTCCGCCCCTACAATGCCCTGAAAACCAGAAACATGAGGAGCCTGAACCCAGAAGGTGTGTGTAAATCCAGACCGTGTCACCAGCTGAATGCACGTGCAAAATATTCCATCCCATATTTCATGTGGGGGTTTCTGTGAACGCTAACGCGTGTCGCCTCTACAGACATCGATCAGCTGATCACCATTAGCGGCATGGTGATCCGCACCTCGCAGCTCATCCCCGAGATGCAGGAGGCGTTCTTCCAGTGCCAGGTGTGCGCCTTCAGTACCCGCGTGGAGGTGGATCGCGGCCGCATCGCCGAGCCGGCTGTGTGTCGCCACTGCAACACCACCCACGGCCTGGCGCTCGTTCACAACCGCTCGGCTTTTTCAGACAAACAGATGGTGAGAGTTTGGTGGGGTCGCTCGTGGGGCAGATTGCTCGTCGTCACTGACGCCTGATCTCGGGACGTGTCAAGTGGCAGTTATCGATGTGTTGCAGCGGAGGTCATGACATCTGTTCGTGCGTTGATGTTTGTTTGCAACAGGTCAAGATTCAAGAGTCCCCTGAAGACATGCCAGCCGGTCAGACGCCCCACACGACTATTGTGTATGCACATAATGATCTGGTAGATAAAGTGCAGCCCGGAGACAGAGTGAACATCACCGGTAGGTCCTAACAATTCACTGCTCATGAGCTAACAATGTGTATGTCTAAATAATAGTGTGAATGTTTATGAAGCATTCACACTATTGTGATCCATTTTTCTTCCGTACGTTTCTTGTCTCGCAGTTTTCAAGCTATTTTAACAAATCATGCATCATAACGTTCAGGTCTTTCAGGACAATCCTGCTATGACTTTTGTATTTTACGCTGGGTAACACCATTCTGGTATTGCTGCACTATCTTTCTGCGCAACAATGTATTGGTGCAACTTAAGTTTTTTGAAATATTTAGCCTTTTCTGCCATTTTTTCCCCGTCACTGAAAATGAGTTGAACTCATTTTACATCCTTCAAATCTTTAGATATGTTTACAATCTTTTACTGCTCCTTTCACATTTTGTTCCGGTTAAGCTTCTTTCAGCTTCCTTGCGCAAATATTAATAAAAAATAAATAAATCAGCTACTTTCAGCTAATTTCGGCTTTTTCCCCAGATGTTTTGTGCTTCTTTCAGCTTTGTATTGTTAACTAGAACATCGTTGTGCTTTTTCTAACTTATTTCAGCTTGTTCTGCGCCTTTCAGCTTATTTCTACAAGTTTCAGCTATTTCTAAAACATCAGTTACTAGTTAGCGGTTTTATGGTAATTTCAGCTCTTTCAGCCAATTGTAAATGTTTTGCTCTCATAAAAAAAAAAAATTTGCCTAATTCAGCACATATGTACTCTCCACTTGCTTCTTATAATTTAAGCTTCTTTCTGCTATTTTATCTACTGGTCAGCTGTTTGTTTTGTTAGTTTGTTTTTTTCTAAATTTAGCTTTTTTCATCTAATTTCCACTTTTTTGTGCTAATTTCTGTCATTAAGCCTAATTGCACACAATTGTGCTCTCTCCAGTTCCTTCGGGTGATTTAAGCTTCTTTCTGCTAAAAAGCAGAAAGAAGCTTCAGCTGTTTTTTTTGGACATTTCTGCTTTTTTCTGATATTTTTGCTTTTTTGTGCTCAGTTCTGCTTATTTAAACCACATTCAGCAAATGTATGTTCTTTCTGCTTTCTTCTGCTAAATTAGGCATGTTCTTCCATTTCAGCGTGTTTTTAAACTAATTTCAGCTTTTTCTCAGCAAGTTCTTCTGCAATAAGCATCCACACTGCATTTTCACAGGAAATGCAATATATCTCGTTTCTTTTGATTTTACAACCCTTTAAATTGTATATTTTCTATTTCCTGTATATGTTTGTGTCATTTAAAACTGCCCACCTCAACCGAGGAATACTGTTTTATATCGATCTTTTACGTGTTCACCGTTAACTCTGTTCTCTCCCTACATCCAGGTATCTACAGAGCCGTGCCAATGCGTGTCAACCCCCATCAGAGCAACGTCAAATCTGTCTACAAGACCCACATAGACGTCATCCACTTCCGCAAGACGGACGAAAAGCGCCTGCACGGTTTGGACGAAGAGGCGGAGCAGAAACTCTTCACCGAGGACCGCGTGCAGACCCTGAAGGAACTGGCAGCCAAGCCGGACGTCTACGAACGCTTGTCCTCTGCCCTTGCACCGAGCATCTATGAACACGAGGACATCAAAAAAGTAGGTGTTAGGAGGGGGGGGGGGGGTCAAAACTGGAATCTATTCCAGTTTAAACAAACGACAAAATGAAACATGATTGTTGATCCAATCAGGTTTGGAATACAGTAGTCCCTCATTTATTGCAGGAGTTAGGTTCTGGACCCCCCTCAATAAATGAAAATCCACGAAGTAGCGACGTTATATTTATTTTAGTATGTTTAGAAACCCTTCCCACAGTCTTACAATTTTCTAAACTCTTAAATCTACGTCATTTTAACAACATACATACAGTACTGTACATGTAGCTACTAAATTTTACTCACCAGCTCTGCAGAACAGGAGCGGCTCTCGGTTCCAGTCCGACTGTTCCGGTCTGACTCGGTTCAGTTTCTGCAGACGTAACCTGCGGCGACAAAGCCCACAGTCACTGTTGTTAACTATTAAACCTACAAATTTTAACAACATACTTATATGTAGCTAATCATTTTTATTTACCAGTGCGTCCACGCTTGGAGGTTCTCATGGGCCAGCTAGATTCTCTCGGGTTCACCACTGAGTCAGGAGGTCCAATTCTGGCCCAGTTCAGTGCAGCTCTTGAGCACTGAAGCGCATTTTGGTGGTGGTGGTGGTGGTGGGGGGGGG